TTGTAAATTACGAACTCTGAAAATGAGCACATTCACTGAGATTTTTTATGCATGTCCTCTTGGACACACTAATGATATACATAAAAGTTTTAGGAAAATTTGGAGGATTGACTGCCTAACAAGATGTAGGATGTAATGAAAAATTCACCTTTTTGACTAGAGTGATGGAAATATTTCACAAAGTGAGATGAATCACAATTTGCTATTCGTCCTCGGCTCCCCTCTACTCCATACTTCCTGCTACCGAGCGAGCAGGATTTGATCAGAATAAGGCCCGTGCTACTACCGTACCGACCTCAATTGATCGAATTAAATTCGACTTTAGCACGGCAGTAGCACGACGTTTGAAACCCAGTCGTGCTACTGCGGTGTAGGACGGCAAGCCTTGCCCTGCTACACGGCAGTAGCTCGACTTGGTTTCAAACGTCCCGCTACTGCTGTGCCAAACTCAATTCATAAATTATAAATACATTAGAATACATTTAAAAGTTTGCCAAACCGTTTCTTTATTTTTGTGCTTTGTTTTCGGCAACAGCCGTTCTCTTCGACTGATATAAATTCGACGTCTGAAACCAAGTCGTGGCTAATGTCGTGCTGCAGTCGAGCTACAGTCAAGCCAGCTTAGCACGGCAGTAGCGCGACGTTTGAAACACTGAGGCCTAAGCTATTTTCACGAACACTGCCCGTAAGCACACTAAAGCCGTTTCACGAGAACATATTTACAAGCCGTCGCAATCTCGTGAGCTACTTGGACCACAAGCGAGACTACACACCTGACAAAATAAACAGGTACAGGATAATAACCCAAGCATTATACCGCCGAATAAAACGACGGGAAAGTGCGTGGGGCTCCCGGCTAACTTCATTTTCGCCGATTTCACTTTTCTACGCGGAAAATCGCGAAAACCTTAAAAAAACCCTTTATCAGGATCTATATCTCTTGCGTAAAACTCGCCAGCTAGTTGATAATGATCGAACTTTTTTTCTGTAACGTGACATCACGGATGGCTAAAGTATCTTTAATCTAGTAAACGTATCGTCCATTTGCAACTGCGTACAATACATGCACTGGTCGCTTTCTCAGTATAAAAACCGCACTGTAAAAATTAAATGCCCTCATTGGAAATACGTTTTATATGAGCAGGGACTATATATAGTACAGTCACCCGCGAAAAATTGAAGTTAGCCTTACCTGTATTGATAGAACAAATCCTTACTGAATTTCCAATCGCAGAATAACACCGTGTTTCTAGGATATAATTAAGCTGTGAAAACAGTCCTTTGTGCAGATGTACTGTGCAGAACGTGCGAATACATGAATTGCTGAATACTGAACTGATGTAATACTTATATCAAATGAGTCTTTTCATATAGTTGGCAGATATCCTGATTGTCAAAGTAATCAATTCAATAACAAATGAAAATAAAGAGTAATAAAACCATGTTGTAGTCTTTTCCTCTCTAGTTGCGTAGCTTACAATTTCCATCTTTTTAATTATCCTGTTCATCAGTGTGCTTTAAAAATATTGAATATGCATGGCCAAACTTGGTACTAAAAGAAATAAAGCTTATGATGAGTTTTGGCGTCGTAGAGCCGTAAGGACATTTTAGTTGTTTATATCGCTATATAACTTGGTGGAAGAAGATTTAAATCAATCTCATCTTTCGATTAGCTCCGCCTTGCAAATGTGGCTTTCACAATGCCACCTTTCCTCAGATCGAAAGCGCATGTTTTACTTCAGAGGAAAGGAAAAAAAAACTGTTTTTCTGATTTTCAAAAAATATAAGGCAGCAACATGCATTATACTTAGAAAAAAATATAGTAGTATAATCTATAGCGCGGCATCGGTAACAAAATCCTTTTCCGAAGACATAAAACGCAAGACAACGAAATGTAACTCAAGAGGAAGCAATCAAGAAGTGTCGAGTGTGGAGTCTTGTTTTAATTAATGGCTTACAATGTAATTCAGGTTACTTCTGAAACTGAAAAATTTAATATCATATGGTTCTTAAAATGTACCCAAACTTATTGAATGGCATGAATCGGGAAGAGAGCTCAACTCAAAAGCGACCCGTGTAAAGTTCAATGACCGTTCTCTTGACCGTCGAACCTGGTGTCAAGAAATCGTCAAGACCTACCGGAACTTGCTACAGATGAACAAACGATCAGCAGTAATCTAGCCTGCGTAGCAAGCGTTTCCGCGCGAGTCCGTCGAGAAAGTTGGGACGAGAGCAAAAAAGAGGAATGAAAGGGGAGGGGGAAGGGAGAGAACCAACTGACTGTTTTTATTGAAGTACTTCAATTTTTATCAGTTATGCTTTGAAATATGACAGTTAAGGGTCCTGCTGCTAAGATTACCCATATTAAGGGCTACTTAGGTTCTTAAATAGGTTCTTAATTTGATAGGGGCAAAAGCGATCAGCACAGATAACTACTACAGGGCACATCTGATATGGAATATATTGCTGCATTAAATAATTATCTAGATTACAGATGAGAACCATATAGTAAATTTCTCTCTCCAAAGTACTAGCATGCATGTCTTTCATTCACCAGTGTACATAAAATGCTTTGTTGGCGAAGACATGGTACGGTTTTCATTTTAGTTCATTCTTTGAATCTTTCTTACTGATTTAGACTAATTTTTTTTTTGTATTTTCATCTGTGCCGTCATTTCAGCTGTCATTTTTGTAAAGTAAGAACCTATTGAAAATTTTAGTTTAAATAGGTTCGTATGAAAAGGGGGTTTAAATTGAACATTTTAGCCTAAACGGTTCTTAAAATTTAGGTTCTTATACGCGGCTTTTTACTGTATTGCATCAGTTTTCGAATTTAATGTCTAATTCGCATTATATATGTCCCTTTTTAGCTAAATTTCAGATTAAAAAAATAAACAAATATGTTTCATAGTTAATTATTAATAATCATTTAACTGACAACTGACAAAAAACCTAACATTTAACTGAGTACTGACAAATGGCCAAAATTTTAACTGACAACTGACATTTATATCCCCCTAACCCCCCCCCCCCCCCCCCCCAACCCCCCCCTTCTCTTCCTTTTTTTTTTTGTTTGCCCCCCCCTTTCTCGCACACCCTCTCTTTAAAAAAAAAAACCCCCCAGCCAAAAAACCCAGAGAGGCTGCCGGGAAGCGCACATGACCCCAACGAGGAAAATTTGAACAATTCAGGGCCCCCTCACACTGTGGGAGGGGTTTTTTTAGCTATATTTAGAATGAAAAAAAAAACAAATTATTTTTCTCTTTTTATATTAAATAATATTTAAATGTCAAATCACAAAAAAACCATCACTTTACATAGGTCTGGCAAAAAGGCCAAATTTTTATCTACCACCTGCCTTTTTTTCCCCCCAACCCCCCCCCCCCCCCCCCCAATCCAAACCCTCTCTTGATCTTCCATTTTTTTTGGCTGTCGCTCCAACTTTCGAGCAATGCCTCGTTTGAAAACTACAACGCCCTCAGAGAAGAACTCACGGTAGGCTAGCGGTAAGCTGAATGTCACCAAAGTGGAGAAGTTTGTACGATTCAGCGCACTCATATATATGGGGAGGAGTTTAACTCGGGAGATGGGATTGAGCCAAGACCGATGTATCAGCAGAATTGTCAAAGATTTGTAGCTTTTTAAATATTTATAACCCGAGTTAAATTGGCATATTCAGCAATGAAGTAGGATACAGTAGTTCTTACAGTATAACCAATTATTATTTTCATTCCCACCCAGCACAACCTTACAGAGCATTTTACATACTCAAACACTTTATTAACAATTGACATTCGTCAATTAGTAAACAATTCTTGCAAGGACCACTTGGACAAACAGCGGCGAGGGAAAGCGGGATCTTGTCGTAGATCAGGATCAGCAATATAAAATAACGCTTAAAATTGAAGGCAAGGCTGATCGGACAGCTAAGGTTTACAAATATAATGTTTAGTTAAGGTAAAAAAAAAAAAACACTGCAAAAACCGTGTACGAACAATCCTCAACGTCGGCTCCATTTTTTTGATCAGTCAAATTAGATAAAAATGAAAACGTTACAGTCAAGAAGACTTTTGTAGGGACTGATCAAACAAAGTGATCATTCCCTGAAAAAGTCTTCTTGACTGTAACGTTTTCAATTTTACAAATATATTTCCCCAATATTTCGACTAGGCAAATAAATTTGTAAACCTTAGCTGTCCGATGCCTTCAATTTTAAGTGACATACATGAAGTCCGTTACCGCCCGCAAGCAGCAGGTGTTAGTCGAAGCGGGCGGAGATACAGGGGTACAGGAGTCAGTGATAAATTGAATGGCTATTTAAAAATAAACTGAAATTAACAAAAATTAAACGTGAATAAATAACATTTACAAAATCAAGCACTTGTAACAGTTACAGGTACTATAATTGCAAAACTGCAGATTAAACTATTCATACTGTGTTTTTTGCTATTTTCTGAAGGAGAATGGGTGCTTCAACATAATCATCCTCAGCCTCTAATATCGAAAGCGACATGTTATTGATATGTTCTTTAAAAGCTCTCTTGGGGAGATGACCGAGTTCATCGCGAATCGAGTTCCGAGTTCCAAAGCTTAGCTTCGATTTTCGACATTTTAAAAAGCTCTTACCTCTCACAGAGTGGAATGTTGTCCAGTTTGTGTCTCCGAGAAATGGAATTTTTCCTTTTTAGCGGAGCATGTATTTATACTGATTTATAAACAATGGTCGTTCCAATATATATACAAATTTAGTTTTGGAAGCAAGGGCCAACGTTACAAAAATAGAGGGACCGGATTTCAATAGAGGATCTCATCAGCTACATCAAATAAATATATTTGATAAACAGAAAGACGCAAGGTTGATTTGACAGTTGGGAATATATATTTTTTGCCAATATGTCGAGTCGAAAGGCACGGTCCTTCTTTTTCAGGGTCTTCGTACCGCTCACTACGCGCGCGTATTTCAATTGCAATGCATGATGGGATAGCCTTCCCGCCACCACATGGACTCGGAAAACAACATGCCCGGTGTCAACGGAGAAATCAAGAAAGATGGTCTCGAAACCGTCGACGAAAAGCGCGATCTTGGCGCAAAACCAAAGAAAGTCGACGATAAAAGCTCTAAGACTCGAAGGACGTCGGAAGTTCCGAGTTTAGACGCAGAAAGACAGTGTTTGGTTCAGCGACCGTCAGACCAGCAATGGCGTAAGTCGATGTTTTTCTTCGTTTTGCATCACATGTTGGAAGACTTCTAATTTACAATTCACTTTTTCGCTAGATCCCGCTGAAATTATACACATCAGACCAGTGGAGAATGGAAAAACTGAGTATTACGTGCATTACCACGGATGTAAGTGTTATTAAAACTCGCACGAAACCACAGTTTTGAGACTTTCGTTTATTTAAGTCTTATTTCCTCGGATTTTGTTTTGTTCGAGGTCGTTTGGAGACCACTACTAATAGCATTACGCCAAAGGATTATTGGAAGTAGTGAAATTAGTCAATAGTTAGTATTTGTACTTTCCTTTCGACTGAACAAGCTAAAACAACAACTTGAGCTTAATATTGAACGGTTCTTCATGCAGAAATGGGATGTTGCATTTCAAAACTCTTGACAGCGTATATTAGTGCTTGCCCTTTCAATGGCGACAAGCAATTTCAGAGTTTCTTTGTCAAGTAGCCCTTTGAAATAATTGCTTGAATTCTAGAATAAATGGAATTTTTCCAGTAACTGACACAGCTGGGCTTCAAAATTCTGGGGCACCCAACGAGAATATAGTTCAAAACCACATAAACATAGCATTGTTGAACGTACTTTAGTATTTAAACGGTACATAAAGGCTTATTTTTATCCCCTAAAAATTTTTCATCTGTTCGGATTTCCTAGCTGAAAGTATAGTGATCCTAAAATTATAGGGATCAAAATTTACCTTTTCAAAAATACCAGCCACAAAAAAGGCTCCCGAAAATTCTAGGTGACCTTTTTAGGGTAAAAATCCGTTAAAAATGGGCAATTATACCACTTTTTTGATGTTCGAAAATCTTAGGAGAGGTAGGCAAGCAAGAAATTTTACAGAAAGTGATCCGAAAATTCTAGATCTAAAATCGTCTTCAGAACAGATAATTTTCCGAAAATTGTCTTTGGGTGCCCCTGAAAATTGTGATTAATTGTGAGAGGGAATTGGTATTTTAGGCTGCTTGGCCAGAGGTATATCATTACTGAAACTTGGCTTACACAGATTGATGCTGTAGTTTTTAGAGAAATCACTCCTGCTGGTTACTGATTGCTTCACTGTCCTCGTGCAGACCGCGCTGGGGGTGGTACTGCACTGTTATTTAAAGACAGTTTTAACGTACATCAATTTGCCGCTGGTGAAAAGAGTTCTTTTGAATTTTCTGAGTATTTGATTGACGCCTCATCTTTTCAGTTTAGGCTTGTAATCATAATGTGAATAGTGTCCTGTATTTAGACAGGATCAGGGTTTAGATTGTCCATACTAGTGTATGGCATGTTGTGGGTTAAACTGGCCATAAACATTTGGATGAAAATGCCATTTTAAGCTTAGTCAAGCCACCCCAACTACCCAAAGGATATTGTTCACAAGGCAAGTTTGATTAGGCTTTTGTTCCTGATGACACATTTCACCTTTGTAAGTTTAGGAATGCACAATGCCTGGAACAGTTTGGATGATCCACCTGTGACCATACTTGTCACTATCCAGGTCTTGGTATTGCTTCTGATTTTCAACCAATCAGAAGCACTACCCAGATCTTATCAGTCAGAAATGGTCAGTATGGAATTTCTTTGCTGGTTTCTCAGACGTCAAATTGTGGGGAAACCACTTTTTTTTTTATTCAACCAAAATGTTAATGATTACTAAGCCAGATGCATGTCCTTTCGAGAAAGAAAAATTACTGGCTGCTCTGTTATTCAGTCCAATTACAATGTGATTACCATTCTTGTTTGTTTTACCTTAGTCAATAGACGTCTGGATGAGTGGGTGCCTATGGAAAGAGTTGATCTTCAACAGAAAGATGACAGTGTTCATGTTCCTATTTTGGAAGAAAAAGTTGATATTGATGGGCCCGAAAGAAAACTGACAAGAAACCAGAAACGTAAACATGATGAGATCAACCATGTCCAAAAGGTATTTATTAGAAATATGATGTTTAGTAAGCTGTGGGAGTTTTAAGTCTAATTAAGAAGGACAAATAATTTCCTTGTCTTTCAAGTAATTAACATGACTTAAAGGGGCTGTGTCACGGCAGTCCAGTTCATTCATTCATTCAGTCCAATTGCTCGCCCTTCAATCGCTAAATGGGACTTAATGTAAGCAAAGAAATTACATGTAAATGACAAAATCAGAGATTCGAGACAAGCAAATATGTCTCTTGATCATTATTTTTGAAGTTGCAAACAGCAGAGATCAACTTTGAAAAACTGTTAGGCTGAACAGTTTTCAAAAACCCTAATTTCAATCTTCTTCAGTTTTGTCCGTCTGTGGAATCTGTTGTATCTGTTGTGTTATTTTAACCTTCATTTAATGTTTTAAGTGGTTATTTTTATGTTTCTCTCAATCTAACGGGCATTTTGTAATTTCCTAATTTGGCTGAATTTTGTGACACAGCTCCTTTAACAGAAAACTGAATGAAGACTTTGCAGCGTGCAAAGATAGTCGTGTCTGATAGCCCGGGGCTAGTGGATTTTTCTATCGGGCTAGTGATTTTTGTTCTTAACTTGCCCGATGGGCAAGTGGCTTTTTGTTGGGAAATTCAAATTACAGAAGGATTGTAATCAATCCTGCTAATCAAGAAGGGTTTTGGGGCTAGTTGAAATGACCTGTGGGCTAGTACATGCCAGCTACAGCTTGCCCGAATGGCAGCCTGTAAAACAGACTTTCTTTGCACCCTGCTTTGTATGAAGAGAAGTGTAGCAGATTGTCCCCTTTTGGGTCTTACAATGCAGGTTTAATAGTGGAAAGAATTTTATCCAGCTTGTCTACAAGTACTCCACTCGAATACTGGTTTGAAACAGATAATCCAAATAAATAATCCCCAACTTGCAGGAGGCAGCCAGTTGGCAAATTATAAGGGTAGCCAGGTTTTCAACTCAGGACAACCGAGAACAAATCCAGCAAGTGGCCAGAGCATGACCCAAACAAAGGACTGCTGGATGGCGAGTCTGACTCGCTGACCACTCAGCCATGCTGCCTCCTTTCTCAGAGATATTCATGCAAAAATTTCAAACTAAGCATAACTAGTTGAAAATCCTAAGTAGCAGGCAAAGAGAGGAACAAGCTGGCAGTGTACAAGGAAGGTTAAGTAATTGAACTCAGGGTTAGCAGGAACAAATCCAACTGAGGTGACAAGAGTAAGATTTGAACTCAGACAGTCCTTACTGAAAACTGTACCATAAAACACTGGCTTATGCTACTGAGGCCAAACATTTTCTTGTTTAAGGTGTTGAACTGGTAAGACTCTCCTGTAGTGAAGCAAGGAGCAGGTCAATTTATTGCAACACTGATTCATGTTTCACTGTTTTATTTCAGACCTATGCTGAAATGGATCCTACAACAGCTGCTTTGGAGAAAGAACATGAAGCTGTATGTATTTTATAAACTCACTCATTTATTTACATATTATTTTATATGATTTGTTTGGTTGGTTGTTTGTTTACATATTATACAGGTTGTAAATGGCATGTGGCAAGCACTTTCACAACAATTATAAGTTTCCAAGCTACCGGCCACTATACTGTAAATGAAATTATTGTTGTCACTCAGAAAGATCTCTACTCACATTAATTTTGGTGAGTGGGCAAGTAGAAGAATACAAATCCTGCTTTCTTGAACAGTAACCTAGTGTGGTTGCTTGTGAAAGATTTTGCTCTTCACGTGGAGAAATTTATTATTTCTGAACACCCAACGTTTATGAATGTGTTGCTCAGAGAAAATGATGTATTTCTACAAATTGTATTAACAAAGTAGTGAAAGTTTGATTTTGAAAAGCAATATATGTTGTATAGTTGCATAACGTTGTCAATGTAATCTCGCTGTGTTTGTTTCCTCTTTCTTAAGATTACTAAAATCAAGTTTGTGGACAAAATTCAGTTTGGAAAATATGAGATAGATGCCTGGTATTTTTCACCTTTTCCTGAGGAGTATGGAAAACAACCAAAGCTGTGGATTTGTGAATACTGTATCAAATACATGAAGTTTGAGAAAACATACAAAGATCACTTGGTATGCTTCATGACAGATTATGTTGTTTTATAAGTATCACTTTTATTGTACTTATGTTTGGTATGTTAACTTGTTATTAAGCCAGATTAATGTTTTTGTTGCAAAACTTTGGGAGATTGCTAACCCCCTTCTCACGCCTCCCCTCAACCATTTTGTTGAAGGATTGAAATGTGCTGAACACAAGTAACTTTTTTACAACAAGACAAGTGAGACTTCTGCTACACGCATGTTTGCAAAAGAGCAGTTCTGACTGACAAGAAGCATTTTCTACCTCATCTAAAATATCACAAACTGTCCCACTACACAGGTCAGGTGAGGTGAGGTGAGGTCAGTAGTAATAAAGGAAAGTGTAAACTGACTCACTCACTCACTGATTTATTCATGGTTATTTTGAAGTTTTCATGTGCTGTTTTATCTTCACTGCAGTTCTTCACATCATTAAGTGCTAAGTCCCATGATAGCTGTGGTATGGGTCCACAGTTAAGCTATCCATTGCATTTTGTTAGGTGCCTTAAACATGACACTTGTGCCTAATTCTCACACACGTGCGTTCAATACTAAGAGGTTTTATCACTGAACACCTTTAATAATAATTATTTTGTAGGGAAAGTGTACAATGCGGCAGCCACCTGGAAAGGAAATTTATAGGAAAGGAACAGTTTCAGTTTATGAAGTGGATGGAAAAGAACATAAGGTACCATAATAGCAACATAAATGAATATAATAGTAAATAATCTCTCAAATAATCTCTCAATAATCTCTCTAATCTCTAAATAATCTCTCTCCCTTGACAGTATTTGCAGAGTGTGGCTGAACAAATCACTGACACAAATACATCAACTAAAACACAACAGGGTTCACAATCTCCACCTGTAGGCAGAGGCAATTCAACTGGCTATTTGATATTATGTAAGGCTCTCTTGGCTGTGCTCTAAGAAAAATTGAAGGGAGTCAGGTGCTTTGATCCTTTAAAGGCTAGGGTGCCTTTCCAGCACATGATTTTTATAAAAAAAAAGAAACTTAGATTGTCTATTTGCCCAGGAACAATAGTCAGGCAGCAGGGGCTAATGGGCACTGCTAGAGCCCAGCCTTGGTATGTCAACATTTTAATAGAAAGTACAATGTATTAGAATTCTGAATTGTTTCAGATAAAACTTTACCATTTTCATATCATTCTTCTTGCCTTTTTTATATAAAGGGATTATTATTATTATTATTATTATTATTATTATTATTATTATTATGTTGTCATAACATATACAAAATGCTTTTACCACGTATTTGTTATGAAAAATCTTGTATTTTGTATGACATTGTATCCTAGAAAAATACAATGTAGAAAGACTGCTTGCAGTCTAACAGAATAATTATGTGGTTCTCTTTGAAATTAACGTGAGAGAAAGTTTTAACATCTGAAAGGTCATTGCATTTCGGTATGTAACTTACATTGTAAGCATTTGCAAAAATAAAGCCTGAAAAAAATTCAGGCTTGAAAGCACCATGTGACCTCTATAATACCGGTGGAGCACTACACAGCAATCTGTCATGTACTTGTTACATGCTTTACTTTGTTGTTCACCATTGTTGTGAAGTTGTCTTCTATGTTTTTTACATTAAGTCTGTATGATCTTCTGATTCTCTTCACAGTTATATTGTCAGAATATTTGTCTTTTGGCAAAGTTGTTCCTAGACCACAAGACTTTGTACTTCGATGTGGAACCTTTCTTGTTCTACTTATTAACAGAAGTTGACAGGGAAGGAGCACATCTTGTTGGATATTTCTCCAAGGTATGTTGGAAAATGTAATACCCTAAACTAAACTTTGATAAATCACCACATATTTTGTGCTTCTGTGATGATGTTTTACACTTAGTGAAGGTTGTTGCTGGCCTTTTTTTTGGTAGGANCATATCTTTTTTAACTCATTTTGTTTTCATCTACACACAGTATGTTACTATTGGTTACATCCTGCTATCTTCGTTTATATTTATTGTTGGTAAGTAAAGCAAATAATTTTTAAATCCCTTTGTTGCTGTGAAAAAGTAAAAACAAAAACAAACGAATTAATTTGCTCTTTATTAATTTCCTTTGTTAAGTGTTACATTCACTCAACAAACAGAAGTTAGTTTTTTATTATATTCAGCATTTTAAATAAAAGTGACCAATAAAACCATGTACATCATGTTTCGTCACAATATGTCATTTCTGAAGATAAACATTCATAATTCATATTTCATATTTCATTCATATTTCTCCAAGGTATGTTGGAAAATGTAATACCCTAAACTAAACTTTGATAAATCACCACATATTTTGTGCTTCTGTGATGATGTTTTACACTTAGTGAAGGTTGTTGCTGGCCTTTTTTTTGGTAGGAGAAAGAGTCACCCGATGGAAATAATGTAGCATGTATCCTGACATTACCACCATACCAGAGAAAGGGATATGGCAAATTCTTGATTGCCTTCAGTGAGTAAACAGCCTTACCTCAACTTGCAGACAAACTATTATGAAACTGTCATTGAAATATTCTCAGGATGCATGCATGGTAGCTACTTATCTGAGAGGCATTTGCCACTGTATGAATAGTGATGTTGCTCAAAGAATGGAAAAAGTGGGTTTTACCATTGTGAGGTTCAAAGCCTTAACTCACACACACCCCTCTTTTACTTACTGTCAAATTTTTAAGTGAGGCATCTCCAGTACAAGTTGCTAAGGAGGTGCCCCACACAAGCATGTGTATGTGTGGCCTTGGTCACCTACAAACATACAATGTAGTCAAACCAAGTCTAATGTTCACTTAGAACAAGAAAGCTTTCTGTTATAGGCAGTTAATGTGTTTAAAGAGCGGTCTAAGACTTGTTTACTCAAGTTGTCTTTCTATAGTGCTATAGGGATTCATTTTAGCCTGCAAGAAGTCTCTCTTTTTCTTTATATTTAGAAAGGGGAGTGAATGGTTGCACGAGTGGCGAAGTGCCCCTCCTGTCTAGTGTCTTGCACCCTTTTCTTTTCATCTACTGTTCATTTCTTTCATAAAAAATAGCATTTTTTCGCCAGTTTTATGTATCCATTGTTTTGACATGTTTTTACATGTATCTGCTCATTTTTCATTTTGAAAAGTTCGCAACTTGAAACTGATGTTTGCCATTTGACGTAAAAATGACTCAAAAACTCTCTATTTTCATTTTTTCCATGTTGTGTTTGATGCAATATTAAGTAAAAAGAGACAGTTTCTCCCTGTGGACCTCATTTTTGGGATGCTTGTTTTCTTAGGGCACTTTCCAAAAGTCAGAACTGGTGACCAGACTGGTCATTTTGAAAATTAAATAGCCTTTTTCCAAGAGTTTTTGATGAAAAACTATATTCTCCATGCATACTATTAAGGATTTGACTGATCTGGCTGGATAGTGTTGATTAATAGTGAAATTCTCCTTAAAACAGGAATGACCTGGCCTGTTAGTTCTGACAAATATAAAGTGCCCTTAGTTTCAAGTTGAGTTGTTACAAATGCATCTAGTTCTTGTCTCTGCAATGCAGTCATTTCCGTAACAGTCCCTTGGTTTGACCCTGGCCATCCATTTGATACCTGATTAAAAGGTTCTGGTATACTACATTTGTGCTGGACTGGACATGGCCTTGCACTGTTAACAAGTTTTACCACTGATGTTAATACCTTATTTGCAGGTTATGAACTTTCCAAGATAGAACAGATGGTTGGATCACCAGAAAAGCCCCTGTCAGACTTGGGTAAACTTAGTTACAGAAGTTACTGGTCATGGATTCTACTGGACATTCTTCGCAACTTCAGAGGAACGCTGTCAATTAAAGATCTTAGGTTGGTGGAGGTCTGCTTTCGAAGAAAGTATTGCTTGTTAAACCTTATCAGAATAAAATGATTTTATATTTCACAAGTTGATTTAAATCTGTACATAATCTGTGCAATGTGATATCATTTTTGATAAAAACAGTAAGATTGCTTGGTCCACATTCCAACCCATTCTTTGTTGTCTCAAGATCTTTGAATTTACTGACAATCTAGCTGTACATTTTTTTCACTTTATTTAACTGTTTGATCTCTATAAAGTCAACGTACACCACACTTAACCGTGGTTTATCTCTTTTACTTTCTTTGCGTGTATTTGAGGTGTGAAAACGAAATTGGCGATTTTATTGATGCTCCTCCTTTACCCCAATTCTTTAAGTCCACAATCTGTGAAAGAAAGAGTCCACTCTGAAAAGGAAAGTTTTATTATCCCCATGATGGTCATCAGAATGCAGAGGAAACGAAATATTTACCTTCTTTCACAGTAACATGACAAGCATAACACAGGAGGATATCATCAACACGCTACAATCACTTAATATGGTAAAGTACTGGAAAGGCCAACACGTGATATGTGTCACACCTAAACTTGTCGAGGAGCATGTCAAGAGTGCGCATTACCGCAAGCCAGTACTTTCAGTGGACACTTCCTGCCTGAGGTGGGCGCCGCCAGGAAAGAAAATCAAGAAAGTGAAGCACTAATGCTGCTACTGCTGAAGTTCTGGAATGTTTGTGACATAACAGGTTGCGGGATTAGTGATGGATGCCTACAGCTGGAACATGTTATGGTCAGTGGTTGTTCAGCAAGCTACAGCATGCTGCATAAACTGAACATACCTGTAGCTTCAGTGAGTTTAAAGAAGCAGTGAGATGCATAGTTCTAATTTGAACTGCATGGTGTTAGGCCACTTGGATGAAGAACTCTGGAACAAACAGATTAGATGTCTTTGCTGATGCACTGAGGGAACTAAGCTTAAAGCATCTCCGCCCCGGTTGATGTACATGCTCTTAATGATTTTATCTTGTCACTGATTTAGCCTCCATGATAGATGCTAGTTGTCCCCAGTAATGTTGGGAGCATGCGTCAACCCCTCCATGCCTAAGAGGCCTGCCGGACATCAAAACTCAAGAGAAATTCACCAGTTGAATGGCCATGGTAACCATAGGATTTCGTTTTCAGACTTATTAAACATTCATAGTCTTCATAATCGACTCTGGCAGTGAAATGGCTAGTATTACTTTCTTGCCATAAAATGGAATGAAGAAGGAGAAGAAAATAGAGAAAGCAAATAATTTATAATAAACTAAAGGTAATCAACATTACTTCTCTAAAACGAGGAATGGGAACGAGAACGAGAACGAGCCAGTGCAAGGGAAAATGAAAAATGGGAAAAAAAAACTCAAACTTTAGCCCTGTCAGAAGGTTCACCAGCTATTCCTTGTTTTTGTTCCCAATTTTCATTTCCCCGTTCCCCGTTTCTCATTTTAGTAACTTCCCCGTGTGCGTTTTTATATAGTCTCGCATTTTACTATAACTGACAAAATAAAAGACCCACAAAGAACGTAAATGGCATATGTTTCATATTGTGCTCGTCATTTGATTTTAAAAAACTTCTCTCATTGTTTATCCTGTAATAGTTAATTTCAGCTACAGTGCTAGTTCTCCATATATGCTAGCACATACACCATCTGAAAGAGAGAAAATTAAAATAGAAAAGAAAGCGAGTTTTTATGTCGTTCCAGAGGGAAATTTCTGGGAGCAACGGAATTTCTGAAAAGGTGGTGCTATTGAGGGAATGGTTCAAACGGAAATTTGAGTTCCATTCCTTCAAAGCCATATATGGTACCAGTTTCAGGCTTTCGCGGCCGTTTCTCTGAACCGACCGGTTTGCCCATGTAAGTGGTAAACAACCAAAATGCCCCACAATGTTTCTGGTTTGTCTAACTAAAGCGATGACCCGATTGGACGTTTCTTTCCACAAAGAAACAATCAGAGGCCTGTAACCGGACCAATATCGTACTCGTGTTCTTAATTTGTATACGAGTTTACAAGCTCAGTCCAAAGAATTCGTGATTGGTAATGCACTCATTCTTAGTAACATCAGTGATATTGATACTCCTTTCTTAGTTTCTAAAACAGTGCATCCTTTACCCCAAATCTCTTTTCGCTATTCCCCACACTCGAAGCTGAAAAAAGGGAACGGGTACATGCAAGCTTTCGAGAGTTTCGGCGCAATGATTTCTGGGATCGATTGGGTGGAGAAGCGTTACCGATGATTGGTTAGTGATGGCCTGTGAATATAATCGACCAATCGTAACTAATACAACCCTTGTCCACACAAACTATCCCAGAAAATCACTGCACCTAAAGCTTGTACCTAAGTTTCTGAATTAACCACTCTCACAGAGTCAATAGCGTGATCTCTGATGGCGAGAATGATTCTCGTGTCGATGCAACAACTATCTGATAAAGTACCCTGCTGAAGATACTTTGTCCGCTTGGTAAATTAGTGTTTTCTTGTTGACTGGATTGAACAGGCTAGGTTACAACTAAGTGACTCGATTAAAAGCTGGTATTGAAAGCTGGCCTTTATGTTGACGTGGACAGAACGCGTGACGAACCCCTAACAACGTCTGCGTGGGAGGCTAGAATAATCCAGTGACGACGAGACAGAGTCGAGGCAGTGATACCTCGGACTTTAAGAACAAAGAATGCATGAAAAGGGACTAGGGACGGAAAAAAGAGTTCGGAAAATAAAGATAGCTTCTTTATATAATTGAGAATTGTTTTTCTTTTACTTTTCTTTTTGTTTTGGCTGTTTTTTTTGTCTTTTTTTGTTTTTCTTTTCTTTTTGTTTTGGTTGTTCGTGGCCATCAAGAATTTTAAATATTTGGCAGCAAATAACAAAGTATTCTGGAGCCTTGTGTTTCAAAAAGAGATTGTAGAAAATCAAGAAAGAAGGCATCTTAATGGGTTATTAAAAAAAAAACTCGTTAGCCGTTTTGGTAAATTTGTGAGATCATTTGTGGACGTTTATGAGAGTGATGTAATCGCTTGACTGTAAACATTGCACAACTTTGTCAGTGGAAGACTTCCGGGATATCAGTACATTATGATAATCGATAAAGATGGCTACTGTATATGTTATGAGCTAGACTTTGTTTGAACTTTGGTTGATATATAATATTATACACCGTGTCAATAATCTGCGAAATGCAATTAAGAAACCTCGAAGCTTTGTTTGTTTAATTTTCATCGCCCAGTTCAAAATCGATATTAAACGAGCCGAAAGTTCACATTCATTCTCGTAATAACACTTATGTTATCCATTAGCTATGAGTAAAACTTGACATCTGAAGAATTTAAGCCAAGTTTTGCTCGATTTATAAAGTATAAGCAGTTGAATGTTAATATATATTATTGAAAACATCAAACAAAATAATTTCGTGAACAGAGTAACTTAATTGCGTCTACTTGATTAACAATAAATGTTTGCTTTTCCCTTCCATAGTGATGATTCCGATGGAGGGGAGAAAGTGCGTTATGGTAATTCAAATCTTTTTTTTTTTTTTACTATAGTTGGGGTCTCAATCTGAGAGCGCGACCTCGTGACCTTAGCATTTTGCTCTGGTGCTGTGTTGGTTTGAATTACAAAAAGATTGCTCAAGCATTGAAGATTAATTGCGTCTGTGGAACACGCCAAGCACACCATAAAGAAAGCTTCCGTTTACAACACTCATCGAAAAGATGTCAAGATTTCGATGCGACATCGCAGCAGAATTGCGTACCAAGAATAAGACTACAGGAAGAGCGTAACTCGCTGTCCAAGGGGACTACAGAGTTTTGTCAAATACGGTATTTTTGAGCTAGCTGTAACAGTGCCGTAATCATGGTTCATATGGACAAATGTTCGAAATGCGTTCGATGGACACTCTTTACCTTTAACTCTTTGGTATGGGTAAGTAACAATTCTTCGATCAGAAATCCTGGAAGTAAAATTAATTTAAAGATGTCACTCGGGGCACAGGAAAATTAATGTTTCGCGCAATTTTTGCAACATCTGCGCGCGAAGCACAACCTTGCCGAAAACACCGAGCAAGAAACTCGTCATGCTCGAGAGACAAAGCATGTAATTTACCTTGGCCTTCGAGAATCCAAACTGTGCATCATTTTGTTGTCAGTTCTATATGCGACTTATTCAGTTCGTTTAATAGGAAGAAATAGAAGAAGCATCGTAATACAGACAATATTCAAGATTGTATACAAATCCCGTATTGAAACTCCAGCTTGCGGAAAGGCGGGAGTCGCGTGATTTCCACTGACTTCGTATTGTTACCCCAACTCCACGTAACGATCACGCATGATGTAACAACCTTTCCCGTTTTCATGTTTTAAAGTTAGATATTAAACGGGTTTAAGTGTAAGGTCTCTAAGGTATGGTAATCAAGTTTATAAGCTTTGTTCTGACTCGATTCAAAACAATCATTGAGCTCAGTGAAAATACTTCTGTCAAAAGGCATCGTTTCTTTACTTTATCGTAATTCCGAATATTTTCAGAATTTATTAAGAAGGAAAAGCAAGGAAGATTATAAATTCTACGAAACACTGTTTGACGACCGTGAAAGCATTTTGACAAGTTCCTTCTATAAATTAAATTCAGCTTTACCATGGTCAGATGTTTAAACAAAGGAAGCAAAAAAATCAATCTTGCATGTCATAGCTTCCAACAAGAGAGAAATCTCTCTTCCTTCCAAGCTGTACTTGGACACACTGAACAAACTAAACTGGCTAAAGACTTTTGACAAATGATAATAAAAACAAACCATGCAGTAAGGGAGTAATAGTTTTTACTAAATTTTTGCTAATGTTTTTTTGGGTTTGACCGAATCCTTTGTACTCAAATTAACAAGACGGCTTCTCTTTTTTCTAATTAAAACTTTCTAAATTTCCCCGAAAGTTGTTTTGTTGTTCATACAGCGCAATCAAATCACATTCGAATCACGTCGGGTAAGGTAACAAATAGAAAAAATATCGATTCCTAATGGAAATTGTTCTTGTATACACCCAAGATAACCTTTCATAGCAAACATTTTTCTCTTTCTAAAGTACCTGACGGAAAATTTCCAATTAATAATTTATCCAACAGATGCCTTTGGTCTCCAAATTTTTTTACACTACAAGGTAGAAAATATTGCGGAAATTTGTATAGGTAATAGCATGATTTGTAGTGATATTTGGCATAAATACCACGAGTGATATTTCAAAATTGTTATACGTAATTTGAGACAATTTTGAAATATCACGAAAGGTATTTTTGCTAAATATCATGTGCAAATCCTGCTATTATTTGTTTATACTACTACCCGCAAGAGGTTTGTAATTTTTACATGTAGGCATTTCAAATTAAGCTGAAATACCGCTGCTCTAAGCCAATCAAATTGGAGAAATTTCTCCTGTGGTAGTATAACAATTAGGAATTCCTTCCTCGTCAATGTTTAATTATTGTAGCTTTATCGCTGACCAGAGGCGTTTTCCCCCGGTTATTTTAAAGTCTCTTGCTAAAAAGGAAAGCTAAGAAATTTATAACCGTAAAAGAGAAAGCCACCAAGTCCTGGGAAGACACGCCAGTAGCTGTACTTTAGCACAATACGGAATTTTACGATATTTGAAACAAAAAAAGCGTTATGCAATTTAAAAATATTGCTTATCTCTTTTGCACTGCACGTAAACCGATTCATGTTCTTTCTCGGCAGCTCGGCGGCTCAGTCATGCTGGGTCTTGGCATCTGGGTCACAACACAGGACACCGAGTATAAACACCTCGGTGGAAATCTGGTGAGTGCCGCACAGGACACCCAGTAACGATGAGTAAAAAAATGTTTGCAACGATTTCTCAACCAAACTTAACAATGACCAAATTGGCGAAAAGACCAGTCTCTGTCATACCGCATTAACAAACGTGGATAAGGAAGGGGAGAATCGGTTTTACTTCTTACATAAGGCTAGACTAAGGTCTTTTAATGTTTTACCTATTGGCTGTATAACTAGAGAAGAAGAGAGCGGATAGAGATCGTTCTGCAGTTTACTTGGAACTAACCATTACAGTAAGGCTAGTTGACACAGTTGACGCTGACAGTGGCAGATTCAGAATTTCAGTCAAGTGGGGGGCCGCTCATCCAAACCCTAAGATAAGACGGGGGGCGGCCTCAAAACCAATGTTTCTCGGCCCTGCATGGGCCCAAAAAAAAGGTGGCGGCCTGGGCGCGGGACCCTCCCCTAGATCCACCATGGCTGAAGCTGTTTCATTGTTTTGCATCCTCTACCATGTTTTGCTGCTTTACTTTTTACAGCGAGCAACAAATTAAAATAGGCCACTTCTGAGTTCTAAAAACCCTCACTTTCAAAATGAGGCTAGGTGCACAACCTTTCTTATTAAAATGAGTTTTATTTGCATGAGAATGAAAAATGATTTCCATATCAAAGGCTGAGCACCTACCCTCGTTTTGAAACAGAGGCCTGGGGGAACTCGGAAATGGATTATTAGTGTAACTTCATTAATGTAAGTCTCTACTCAGCTTAACAATGAAAGAAAAAAAGGAAAGACAAAATGCATTAACTTGAGGGCTTGAGGCTTTGAATTTGAGTTCTGCTTTGTTCTTAAGGTTGTATATTCACCAAAGTCCTATTCTGTTTATTCCATTCATCTCAAGGTTATATTATTGCCATAGGTTAGATTAATAAATCTCCTACTAGCTATTTTCTTCTTGACTACAATATAACAGTATAACTTAAAGTGTAAGAAGAAAAATCTCTTTCTGGAGTTAACCATGTCACCTTTCATATCTTTTTTAACTCATTTTGTTTTCATCTACACACAGTATGTTACTATTGGTTACATCCTGCTATCTTCGTTTATATTTATTGTTGGTAAGTAAAGCAAATAATTTTTAAATCCCTTTGTTGCTGTGAAAAAGTAAAAACAAAAACAAACGAATTAATTTGCTCTTTATTAATTTCCTTTGTTATCACAATGTAAGTGAGTTGTTTGTCTTCAATCAAAAAATAATATAAGTCGTAAAATTTATTTTCACTGGTTATTTTGGTACATGTAGTACAAAGCAGTGTTATACAGTAAAGACTTCTATTTGTAAGTATTGACTCTAGAGGCTGTGGTGCAAGTTTGATGAAATAATGTTGTTACGAAGACATTATCTTTCTCAAAAGTTGTATCCTTATTAATGATCTTTAGAGTGAATTTTTTGTAGCATAACTGACAAGTCGTGAAAAAAAATGTTATTCTCAGGATTTCTTGGAGCATGTGGAATCCTCTTGATGAAACAAAATGCACTGAAAGTGGTAAGATTTAAGTCAAGTTCCAAAACTCATTAATAATTCATAAAGAACAAACAAACGAAATTAATAAAAAATGAGTGTCTTTATATCTGATAAAGACACGGCTAAACTTTACGTCCAATTTTTAGACCAAAATAATCCCAAATCTAAGTATTAGTGCAAGAATAAGTTGATCTATATCAGAGATTTTGAAGGCATTCAAAAAACTCGAAGTCATGTATTATCAGGTTTAAAAACTCTAGGCTTTCACCTCGAGTTTTTAAACCTGATGATACATGGACAACACACCCAGAGTTGGTCCCTTCCTTTCCTTCAGAATCAGGTTCTTCTTTTGACTCCTTCTTACCCATCCACCCCTAGAAGTGGTCAAAGTCAACAACAGACGAAAATTCTAAATAATTTGTAAAACAGTGAAAAGCAAATAGTACCAAGCACAAGTATTACTCGAGATGTTTCATTTGAATGTTCTAATTCACACCATAGGATTTCATACACAGAGTGACTTAACAGTTAGAGGGTGTTTACATGACACCAGGCGACTGTCGCCCCAGAGCGAGTTCACTCCAGTTCCCTCTAATGGCTCTATATTTGTTTACATGATACCACCACAAAATGTCATGCCCGCGCGAGTCACCCCGGCGTCAGTTCACCCTGGTTCTTGTACCGGGGCGAGAATTTCACTCCAGAATGAAATCTCGCAACGGTATCATGTAAACTCGAAACGATGAGTAATGGTTGCGATTTTGAATCTTACGTGTATTTTATCAACATGAAGTGTACCTTCAAATAACGAGGTATGAAATGACCCAGTCATAATGTAAACGCGATACGAAATAAAAAAAGTCATCCCGGTATGAAACTCGTGCCAGTGCGAGTTTTCTCATGTAAACACCCCCTTAGAATCCCAAGGCTGCATCATTTTTCCTACAACTGGGAGTGAAAGGGTTTAGGCAGACACCTCTCTTAGATGGACACCAAGGGCCAGATCAATGTTTCTATCTTAGACAGAGAGTTGTGTGTGCAGCTGTAGCTCAAACAAAGGAAAGAGACATGCTTCCATTGCTGTTAGCCAAAGGACCTAGAAAAGGGAAGCGCTTTAATTAATGCCAGTAGAAGGCTTATTTTTCCCACCAGCTTCCATACAAAATTCATCCGCTAATACATTTTTGTCAGATATGATGAATTGAAGCTTCACAAAATAAGCAACAGTGCTCTAGTGAAAGATCCCTTTTAAATCAATTAGGTAGTGGGGCTGCTGAAATAAAGAATTAATTCAAAATGAATTCTATTGATATTTCACTGCTAGACTATGACATACTGAAAATATGATCCCAAAATGCTTTTAAAGAATTTTTTGGAAAGAAAAAAGAGGCAGACATCCTAATTTATCAACTGTTTTAAAAAGCATTTGAAACAACAATTAAAACTATCATTATTTTATTCTAGTCCAAGTATGTAGAAACTGAGGACCATTCAAGGTCTATTCATCAGTCTTAAATGGGTTATTTAATATTTACAAACAATAATTATTGTATGACCATGCATTTTAAAAAAAATCGACTAACTTTACATATCATGCCTCCTTCCTTATAGTATTTTGCACTGATGCTGTTGCTTTTAATGGTGGAACTTGGAGTAGCCGTTTATCTTTATTTGGAGAAAGACAAGGTCCTGATCAGAATATAAATATTACTCGCCATATTGTACTGTTGTGTCTTTTTTCCTTTTAGTTCTTTCATCATTATTTTTGTCGACAAAGTTTATGATATCTAGGAATTTTGATCAGGAAGAGGGGAGGGTTAACCTTTAGTTGTGGTGAAGAAGGGGCATTTCAGGAGGGAGGGGATAGATTTTTTTTTTTTTTTAACCTAAGGTACCCCACCCATCCCCTCTTAGTCTGCCCCTGTAAAGTTTCAAAGGTTATTATTTTGAGGTTAATTAGGCAAAGTAAAAGGTAAAGAGTCTAACATTATTTCTGACATTTATCAACTTAGATACAGGATCACATTGAAACTAACTGGAATGAAACCTCAGATGAAGCTAGAATTATCATTCAACAAGAGGTGACCAATATTGTTTTGTTAAAACAGTCAAATATTTTCTTTATTTTTTTTACCTTTAAGGCTTTAACTTATTTTAAACAACTTTGTTCACACTGCTTTTGATAAACTATCACACAAGACAAGGGGTATTATTTGAAATGTACACTGAGAAATGAAAAAAAGTTATGTTTCAACCACCTTTGAGGCATCTGTCAAATATGATTATCAGATAAAAACTTAATTGTTTCTTGTTTTTATTTGACAGAACTTCCTTTATAGGCAAGCAATGATTATAAATCCTGCAGAGGTCATTTCCTTAGAAAATAAAAGCCACTTTGGTGTACATTGCACAGAAAGAAAAGAACTTCTGTATGTATCAATATGTGCCTTATGCATTCTTTCTTTACCTCAACAGTTCAAATGTTGCGGCCTAAAGCCTTTGAACCTTGAACACAAATCAAGTTCTGACAAGTCCTGTTTTGTTGATAATGACACAACAAAGGAAAGATTAAAGGTATGAAAGAATCATTCCAGAATAACATTCCGAATGATATTGCCAAAATCCTTATATCATTTTATTCATTTACAGTTTTGTGTTTATAAATTAATGCACAAGTGTCCATAGTAGGTGATAAGGTTGACCCTTTGGCTTGGTCAGAAGATTCATATTAATATTATTTTACTAAAGGTACAGAAAACTAAGGGCAACGAAACCATGCAAGTTGTTTTGCCACATTAGAGAGATTAAGAGACACCTTTAATCCAAATGGCAAATGTGAATTTGCACCACGTGACCAAGTTTTCCCCTTAGTTGTCGTTTGCTGTTTAATTACTTCTACTCAAAAATAAGTAGTTTTATGCCAGTTTTATCCACAAGAATTGTTCTGCACAGTTTTGAATCTGAATCTGAATCAACTTGAATCTGACGTTTGCTGTTTGTCGTAAATGTGACTCTTGACAGGGTTCGTACCCTTTTTTGGACAAAAACTTCAAGGACTTTTCAAGGACTTTCAAGGACACATTTGCCATTTTCCAAGGACTCCATTCAGTGCAGAAAAGAGCCTTGAGTCTATGTATTTTTAAGTTCTACCACAGCATGAGCAATTTTATCCTGAAGCTCTTTCATATCAGGTACTTGAGAATCTGGGTTGGATAAAGTTAGCACTGAAATTCAAGGACTTTCCAGCACCGACTGCAATTTTCAAGGGCTTTCAAGGCCTTGAACTTTTTATTTCAAATTTCAAGGATTTTCAAGGTGCGTGCGAACCCTGCTCTTGATCTCTCTATTGCTGCAAAACAATTTGAAAGGGGATGTTGCGCATTTTACCACCTGTTTTGCAACAAATTAGGTTGTTGCAGGTTGAACCACTCTCTTATAAGTGCAATAAGAATAAAAAGCTCCAACACAAACTTTATGATTTAGTCTCTATTAAAGTGACTTTTTGTACTTCCTGTGTTATTTGCACTTCTAATGTTTATTTATTTATTTATTTGTTAGGACTGTTATAAACACTTGATGGACTGGATTAAGGGGAATCACATCATTTTAGCTACTTGTTCTGTTGCCGTGGCTGTTTTACAGGTAAATGAGATTATAAAGGTTTTAAAAAAACATGCTTACAACAATAAATTATGAAACTTAAGAACTGAACATGGAATCACCCACCATGACAAAGAATAGTAAGCACCAGTAGCACCAAAGGAAGTAGTGTCCATAACTTTTAAGTTAAAGCTAAAAATTCACACTTTACAAGTTTACAATTACTACAAATAGCAACCATTTATTTACTTGTTAACTCATCAGTTCAGTGATGATAATGAGTGTTGATCTGAGGGTTATTGCAATCAGCTGATCACTAATCCATCAATTTGGTTATTTTAAGATGTTTATTCTGGGAGGAACCTGCCGGCTTATTGCAGAGATTGAGTCTGGTGACAGATCCGTAAAGCGCACCAGAGTGGTACCCTTAAATATAAAACAAGATCATCAAAAGCAAGAAGTTACAACACAGAAAAGCCCTGGACATATACCAGTAAATGCTGGTCCAATACCTCCCAAAGTTGGTGCAAGTAAGGAACCACAGGAAGATGCTGATGAATTTGAAGAAAGCAAAAAATCAAGTATAGCTGCGAGAAGGAATTGGGCTAAAGTGAATCCTAAATACAACTCAATTCTCAGCCTTATTGAACAATAGTTTTACTAAGCATTTCTGGTCATTAGTCATTTGTAATAGACAAAATTTATCATGCATTTTTGGGTTAAGTGCCTAGAGTGCTAAAACCCCAAAGTTAATTTATTAATCTTCAGACATCTAACAGTGGTCAACCCAAACAACAGGGTGTCAAGATTGTTTTGTGGAACTATAACAAAAACTACAGCAGTACCCAGGAATTTTTTATTTGTCTGCCAACTAAAAGCTACAAGCACCTTGTACAGCGTGATGAATGTAAATATAATATTATTATGGCCTTTTTTTCTTTCTTTTTATTATAACTATCCAAATAATAATATTTATAGCTGACGGTCTTGCAGACTCCATAGGATTTATGATAACAAAAGAACATTCCTTATTTAGACTGTTAACCTGACTTAGCAAGTAGAGATGGAGACGTTTTTACATTTTGAAAAAATATTGTGGTTGTAGTTATCAGTAATAACTTTTATTTTAAGGCTGTTTCATTGTTGTAATTTTCTGTGTGCAAGAGTGAGATCAACTACCGGTATTTATAAAGTGAGGTACACTGTAAGGATAAGCATATTTTTAGTATCTGTGAATAATACAAGTAATGTCAATAAATATTAGTGAGCAAAATACCATAAAATATAAATTAATCAATACATTGCAATTTGCAGTTTCCTCTGTTGATTACATCAGTTAATTGTTCAAACAGTTTGCCTAGCACTTAATTTTTTCCACACTCTTTACTGTAGCTATTCACTACCCTCTCTTTTCTTTTCTTTTTATAGCTGAACATACAAACTGGACCCATGTTTCAATGCAGAACACAAGGGGTTGGGTGAGGGGAGGGGGCTGGCAAGCAAAAAAACCCTGACCCCTCATGCTTCTTGCTTGTTTCACTCATTACATGTCATGTTCCCTCAGGTTTTGATTGAGAAAATATTAAGCTTGTGAACGGTCTGCTAATTGTACAATTTCTAGCTAAAATAACTATGACATATCACTTACACAAAAATCAATTTTACAGTTCAAAATGTCTTTTTGGTTTTCTTTAAGGGTTGTAAGAAGCAAGATTAATGAGACATGAGGAATCATACACTAGCAATAAATAGACTAAAATTACTTTTCCTAAGGTATGAAAAGATGTCCTGCAGATGTTAAAATTCATATATAAAACTGTAGTATTATTCCTGATACCATATACCAATAATTCAAGATGACCTTGTGATGTCAGCCATAGAGGGTGTTACGTAGGAACGAGACTTCTGGCAGATATTGTCTGACTCCAGGGTAACACTGCACCTACATCAGAAAAAAGATAAAAGTACATCAGGATGTTTGTCACAACCTTGAAAATTGATCCTTCACATGTCACAAATACTTTGACTGTGATAAAGAGTAGACAACTGACATCTTCCTGAAAAATGTTGGGACTTTTTAAGAACTTACTTAATTTTTAATAGTTGACATCAATAAGAGAAGACTGTTATTGCACCATACACTAAACAGAGGATATTACATGGCCGTGCAGAGATACAAAATTTCTCTTTTGAGTGTTGAAATATATTTCATGAATCTCCAAGCAGCCATGCAATGTTCTATTTATTATATAAACACCAATGAAATGCCAAACAATTTCACTTAAATATTTTTTGTTGCAAAAGGTGCAATTTATTATGTAGCCATAGTGTAGCAACAGTGATCTTTTAATCTTTTATGTTTTCACACAAAAGCTCACCTGGTATTTCATTGGTGATTATATAATAAGAGGTTATAATGAATTGTACAGTGAATTTCTTTTTCAAACAACATACTTATTTCAGACTCATAACACTTGAAATTCCCCACTGGTACAAGGCACCATTGGGCTCTTGTGATTTAGAATTTGGCCATAGTGTTGTACTTTATCATCTTTCCTGAGTTTAGGTAATGCACTGTCTTGCAGCATATCCAAGTTGTTGCCAAAAATTATGAATCATTCTGTAACTTGAATGCACTGTCAAAACTGACCTCTAAATCAAGGGGATGTTTTTACACTGTATATGCTTTTTTTATGTTGCCTTGGCCTCCCTAACCACACCCACCACACAAGTTTTAAATATTATGATCTAATATATATAGATTTAGCCAGCACTAAAAGCAAAGTTCTCATTAATATCCATCATTTACTCGAACAAAATATATAATAGTGTAATGCTAAGCAGCAACAGCAACGAAACGGGCCAAAAAAAAATCAGTAGGTCTAATTTAGTAAAAAAAAAAAAACAACAACTTTGCATGTGCAGCACACGTTTTATGGAGGAAATGTTGTATGTGTTCCTGTTCACTTTTTCTTACTGCCACTCACTTTCCCCTTGGTGGCTACTACCACTTCTCATTTTCCCAATGCGCTACAAAATGTTCATGTTTTAATTCCAACAAAATTGGTCTCATTTGTTTTTCATCTCTTACTCTAGCTCTTTCTCTGTTATCCAAGTCAATGTGCATCTGTAGACATTAAAATTAAGTTGAAAGAAAGAATTGGCTTTGGTATTGTTGTTTTTTATCTCTATAAGTTCGGGTAGCTATGCTATTTACTCCCAAAACAGGTGGGTGCAAACTTTCACCCCAGCTTACATGAAGGGGCGGATATAAATACGGACGATTTTGTCAGAACCAAAATTTCTTGGATGCATTGATAACCAAATTTTCTTACCCATGATGCTCCGCTGCATGCACTTCTGCTATTAATATTTAGTTGAAACAATACCTGATTGAACCACCTTGATAAGTTTATGAGTTGTTCTTTCCCATGCACAGTTAATTCCAACATAACAGGATGCAAAGCATAGTACAACATGATATCTGCTAGGGTCAGCTCATGACCCACAAGGTACACTCTCTTAGACATAAACTTGTTAAGATCCTGAACAAGAATAAGAATATTTAAGTTACCTTTATAGTTTCCTGAACAAAAACCTTGAGGGTTTCTAGGGATTAAAAAAGGTCTCGTCCAGTGGTCTCTGACAAGTAGCCTTTCTTGTTGGGCAAGTGACTTTAAAAGCTCACTTGCCAATGGACAACGTAAACTGAGGGTGTGTTCAATTAATTGTATTCTGGAATAAGAATACGCAAAAGTTTTGTGACAAATCTCTTGTACTGTGCAATATTAAATATTTTGGAAATATACCTGAATGCAACACATTTTATTTCAAGCAGACTACTAGACATTACAATGCAATGAATGCCAAAACAAGTGATTTCTAGACCTTATTCCATTTAATTTCTGGAATATGGTCAATCAAACACACCCTTAGAAGAGCAAGCAATGATGCTGGACACAAAATATAAGAGTTGTTTGTCCACTAGACAAACTGGAAATTCAAGGTTTTTTTTAGTCCTGGAATTTTGATCAGGCAGGTTTCTGTCAATTCTCAGTGAAACAGATCGAACATCCCTGCTTTAGAAAGCACCACTTTTCCCATAATTTTGTTAGTATTTTACAGTGAATTACATGGTCAAGCATCCCTGGGAAGAAAACAATAGGGCCATTTATACGAGGAAAAATAAGACGCGTCTTAAATAAGACGCGAACTGTACCATTTATACGAGCATGTCTTATCTAATAAGACGCGTCTTAGCTAAGCCACGTCTTATTTTAGACGAAATGTGCCGTTAATACGGAAAGTTCGCGTCTTATTTTTCCTCTTAATGGCCCTATTGTGAACTTGATTATTTTAATGTTGATTTCATTATTGGTTTCAAGATTTCACTCAAATATTGGATTATTCATTTCAGTCTTGGGGACAGTCGGTCATGCTCCACAGGTTAAGGTTACAGTACAGGTAAATAATATTTTCAAGGTTGGTAAAGTGACTTCATAGATTGACTTCTCTTTGCCACTTTGCAGATTGATGCCTTATTAATCCAGTCACAATTCAATTCTTGAATCAAGTATTTTTTTTAATTACATGTATTGATTCTTCAACCGGAGAATGGGATATTAAAATCAATAATGAGCTCAACATTGCAAGTTCAAATTTTATTCTCCCTAGGAATGCTTCACTGTAAAACTGCTTGTGGACTGAACTTTCATGTGATTTTTGGACTTCATATAATTCACATCTAATGCTAATGTTGTAAATTTATAAAATCTATCAACTACAATATCTTGAGAAAAATACCAGTACACCTACTTCACCAAGGTCTTTACTTAAAATAAAGGCTAAGGATGTGTGGCAAATTCTTACCTTCAGAGCTCCGCATACTTGAGTTGTATCATTTAAGTATTTCTCTAACTGGAGCTGCCAGTATTCTAGCCACTGATCAACTTGAGCATGCTCCAAAGCTGAGTTACCCAACAATGTTTGTCTTGATATGGCAGAAAGATAAGAAGCCACTGTTCGCACACCATGCACTGTTTGACCAGAACTTAGAGTCAGGTATGGGACCTAAAATAAATTTTAAATTACTAAATAAATAGGCTGAGAAAACAGACGACATTAATTTGGTGACGCTACTACTGGTTTCCCCACCAAATGACATCTGAGAAACGAGCGCAGAAATTTCATACTCATGATGCGTCACTTCACTACCCAGATCTGGATAGGGACGCATCATCAGTATGGAATTTCTGCACTCGTTTCCCAGACATCATTTGGCAGGGAAACCAGTGGTAGCGTCGACAAACATGGGCTGCTTCTCAGGCTACTAAATAAATAGGTGAATAAATGTCTTAACTCCTAAAACAAGCCATCCTTCAAGAGTCTGTTAGTCAAGACAACAACAATGATTTTTTCAGTGAGGTACAGAATTGTGAGAAATTAATTGAGTGCTAAAAAGAACAACGCTAACAAATGTGCTATTTTATTATTCTCTTGTTATTTGATGAGATGTAAATGAGCATGAGCTACCTTTCTGCAATTCCACACCTTCAAGGATTTTCTGTTGGCACTTTTGAAAAAAATGTCCAAAATTTTGCTGGTTTCTGTTCAACAAAGAAAAAATCTGAACCACTTATTTAAAAACCTGCTTTCCTTAGCAAGAGTTTTGAGTCCCATACAAAGTCATTTATTTGAATCTCATTATTGAACAAAAAAAAACTTATTTCAAGTCGACAATTCACTGACTGATCGAGTGAAGAAACTTCATTTCCTTTTAAGTTATGCCAGTCTTCAATGGGCTTTGAAAACGTTCCATAGGTTCCAGCATGCAGAAACCAATGCTGACAGGTTAACAATAAAGCCTGTTTCAAATGTTATGCAAAAAAGCTGGATTAACTTTAGTCAAACATAGTTAGCACGACTCAAGCATGCATGGCATGGTTTCAGAAGTCGAAATAAATTCAGTCACACAAAATAGCTTTTGGCCAAAAAAAATGAAAGAAAATCCGGTTAATTCAGCTTTTAAAATGTATTCTAATATATCAGAAGCATATAGTTATAATCTATGAACTAATTTTGGCACGACAGAGGCACAAACCTTAATGAAACGGGCCAAATTAAGCGGAAAGGCAATTTTGATTTTCAACTAAACTGCAGGAGCTAAAAAAAAAAACTAAAAAAATCCACACCTTAGTAGAGGAAGCATGTCCAGATTCTTCTATGCGTACTCTTTCCTTTGGTATTTTGCAGAAAGCCAGTAAATTTTCTATTTCAGTGCAGCCATTCAAGGACAAACTCGCGGCAGCCATCTTGGAAATTGTCCTTAAGGCAGTCACCGCTGACTGATTGGCGTTACAAGAGAATGGTATTGTGGTACCTAGTTTCTCGCGATTTTAAAAACACCGGAACAAAGAAAGTCAAAACAAAGAAACCATCAGCTGCGAACCCGGTGAAAAGAATTATAAATTTATTCTACAGCGACACATGGCACGGAAATAACTCCTAGTACTTTTTATAGACAAATCAACTTCGACTTGAATGTAAGTTAGTTCTTTGTTTGATCTGTAGTTTATTTAATTGATATCACTAGTGTATAGTACCCGCTGATAATATTCGGGGGCTGTCGAGTAGATTCGACAAAATATCGAAAATGTAGATTTGACAACGGACGCTTGGTCAAAACTAAAATACCAAAGCTTCCAAGGAATCCTCAGTAAATTAGCAAATGTCTATGTGAGTGAAAACGCTATGCTCCATCAGACTTTCAGATGTCAATTTATTTTTGAATAAGAATTTTACATGTAAAAGCCGGTTCCTCGCAGCGGAGAATTTAAAGGTAGTTGTTGAAAACGACGTCAATGTTTCCGCATGCATCTTATTATTCAAATTATCTGTGTTATTTTCAAAGAAATAGTTTTTGTATCCCACGATAATATAAAATCAATGCCATGAATTTCTTATTTCTTTAAAACCTTCTGCTAGTTACCTGTTCAGGGGTTTTCAACTATCTGCGTTCCTTGTAAAACTTAATGTACAAATGAAATAGACAAAGCATTCATCAACTGAAGCGCGACAGATCGCCTTACACCTAAAAACCTCGATAATAGGAAAATAAGCGGTGTAATAGCGAAACCTTTAAATATATTTTCATTTTTTTAACCAACACTTAGAATGTATTGTCGGCTATAAAATTTGATTATGCGTACAATTGACAGGAACATTAGCATCAGCATTAAAACTATTTTAAAAAAAGGCACAATCACAAAGAGATTAAAAACTAAGCGGGAATATACTTCATAGATGCGATTTATCTGATAAGTATCATAGAACGCTTGTTATGCCTCTGAAAAAATTAGACAAAAAAGAACGCGAAACTCTTTAGGTCTCGCGATTTCGGCCGTGGCGTGCTCTCCCATCCACCTCTTTAAGGAAAATCCACCACTCAGGTTAAACGCTTGGAACTAAACGTCACTACCAAGTGGTTTTGCACCAAAAAGTATTGGTTAGATTTGAAATTGCTATACTGACCGGAAGTCATCTGAGAAGTGAACGTAATCAAAAAATGGAGACCACCGCGATGTACCGCAAGTGACCAACATATTAATGATCCTTACTACACTTCGGTTTTGATGTCGATGAAATCAGAACGTACTTCAGCGGCTCTTTGTGAATTGTTATTCTGACCCTACCTCCTAATTTCGATTTTTAATTAGAGGGCCGATTGCGTATTTGATACCGATTTCGTGTTTGCATGGCGATAGCAGACTATCCATTGTTTTGATCCCATCTCAAGTGCCAGGTCGTGCTTGATTTTGCGCAAGCAATTTGACGCGTGCCTTTTTGCGCGAGCAAGGCTCAAACTTTTTTTCATACTGTCGTCATTTTCCGCAAATCTTGTTGTTGACCATGAGAAGCACTGCAACGAACGAAAGCTTTGCCTAGTCCCCGTGAACAAAATTTGAAACATTGAATGTAATGGGATGCCATCATGGCAGAAGTTTTTGTTCTGAGCAACTTCAATTTTCCATCTTGTGCAGGTTGAAACGTTTGCATGAAGCAACGGCAAGCAAAAAGTAAACTTGAACGCTGACGCATGCAAAAGTTTACTACGTGTGATCAGCAGATGTTGAAGATGACGGGAACTAGACGAAAGAAAAGATCACAAAGTGAGTGTTTTTCTTAGCAAAGTTGTTTTAACGTACACTTCAATAAAAAAATTTCGTCTTGTACGCTAATTCAGAAACATATATTATAGTTAAAACTTAACACGATAAGGAGTAGCAGTGAATGGTAACTATAGAAACAACAACAAAATAAAACCAAGAAGCTGTAACCCTAGTAAAATGAGATGGAATTGTTATGAAGCCTGTCTAATACCTATTTGTTATATGTTTTGTTAGCTTATTTGAACTTGACGGTTCACATCGTTTGATAGCATTCCTACCATTTTGACTTTTTCCACCAATGTCGAACTGATTAATTCAATTACGAGTCGGGTGAACAAAAAAGCTAATGGATTGTGCACCGTCAGGGAGCTGACAACATAAATCGGCAGCGCCGTTGTTTTTATCTCTTGAAGTTTGTTGGCTTTCATATCCAGGCTCATGGCCATAAACTATGTTGTAACTGAAGTAATACGCTGACAAAAATGCGCAAGAGGATATCAAATTAGACTGACGTTTTTTGTCTTTTCTTAGAAATCTCTATTAAAAGCACTCAAGCATTTGTTGAGATTAGTTGTAACTATTGGTCCGAACTGCGGATTGGTCTTAAAACATCTCTTTTATTTTGTAGGGCCTGTGAGCATTTTCAAACGATTAAAGTACGACGTACTGCACTCAACTGATCAAAGATTACTTGACAGCCAACTTAGGACCGCCATAAGTTCAAGTGCACCAGCACGCCATATTTACAACCTGTTGTTACGCGGGGCTGACGCGAATTGCGTTGATTCATTAGGTTATTCACCCTTACTTTTGGCTCTTAGAGCACATTCATCAGAGTACTTACTAGACACCGTCAGGATACTATGTGAGTTCGGAGCCAACGCGAATTACAGGAGTAACGTCTTCTACGGGGACTCTCCCCTTCATTTCGCTGCAGCACTTAACAATTACGAGCTCATAGAGCAGCTGTATCATTTCAACGCGGATGTCCACACGCGAAATCACGCAGGATATACGTCTTTGCATGTGGCAGCGCAAAACGGAAACGAGGTTAGTGTGGCGGCGCTGTTTCTTTGTGGAGCGGACCTGGACTCCAAAGAGAATTACTGTGGTTACACCCCTCTCCATTTAGCTGTGATTGGCCAGTTTCAAGACGTTGTAACATCATTAGTGTCACTGGGCGCAAGTATTAACCAAACGGACAATTGCGGCTTGACGCCGATTGACCGGAGCACCTCAGAAGTCATTCGGGCATTACTGGTTAGGGCACTTCAACCAAACGTATCAAGCCTTGAGTCACGTTGTCTTGCTATTATCAGAGAAAAAGTATGGAATGTTGCAGGAATAAATGGATTTGATAATCTGCCTCTTCCTCTCACTTTGAAGAAGAAACTTCAATTAAGGTGAAAATAAAAAGTTCTGATCGAAACTAGATAAGAAGACGACAATTTTACAAGCTGAATAGCTAGTTAGTTTTTATGAGCCCTTTCGATAACTCAATATAGTTCCTCAAATTTGATTTTGTTTATAGCTGCATTCTTAACAGGGAACGGCAAAAGCGCCCTGGAATGGATGTTACCTACTTTTTTATCTCGCCGACGCGATTTCATTTCGCTAGAAATTCACTTTCGATCGGCTAAAACTGTGACAATTTCTCGTTCTATAAGCAATACCAAAACACAAGCTCCGTTTGTCTGATACTCGCACTAAGGGTAAATTAACTGAATTATTGTTTCATACATATCAATTTTTGAAAAATAGCCAATCGAGTCAGTGTTGAGTCTACAGTGCTTTGTGTAGGCTCTACTGCGGTGAAAGGGCTGATGGTACTAAACGCTCACTAAAATATCGAGTTTAGCTGGGCTTGGATTTAACATTTTGAGTATATTACAATTTTTTTTATCAAATTGTTACTTATGTTGTACATATTTAATCGTATGAAATAATTTTGACACCAATTTTTAACTTAATTATTTTATGAAATGGACTGAATCAATAAAATTTTTCATTGATATAGAATATCATACGCGTTCTTTGGATGTGGCTTCAAACGAAGATGTCTGAAACGCGAGAGAATGATGCATCATATAATATCCCCCCAACACCGGTGACACCATTCTCACAATTTGAAAGTGCATTTAAAGAAAGTTTCTAAACTTTAGGTAAAATCGTTTCCTCTCTCACTGATCCTTATAGCCTTTTAGGAAAAGTGAACACCCTTAAGTAACGGTATAATGATTTTCTTTGCACGTTAATCAAATAAGCGACCTAAGACAATCAGTATGAATGCGATTTTGAGCTTCAGCTCACTTGGCTGGCGGACAGGTGCACAAAACTTTCAGTTGTCTGACGGTAGTAGTTTAGTAGGGATAAAATCATCCTCCTTTGGGGGCAGGAATCTCATTGAGGAGTACAGGAGTACATGAACTCTGATGACTTCATGGTATTTCGCCTTTATCTCATGAACGAAATGCGGAAAAATCTAATTAAAAAGGTCATATGTATTATTTTTAGGTGGCTTAACCTGTTGGACAGTTTATTCAGTTACTTCTAGGTAGACGAAGGTCCTGCTTTTTGACTGGTTGACTTAAAACTAAGAAGTCGTGCACCTTTAATGAGGACGAAGGCAAACTAGCTCTTTCTACCTCGAAAAACAATTTTCCACTTTCTCTCCGTCCTTTTTTCTATTTCTATTTCTATTTCCCTCCTCCTCCACCTACACATTATCGACCCTATACATTGTTTTCACATGACGTCACGGCGGCCATATCGAAGAGCTTGTAAATCACGAGCCGAGGGTTTTCACAGAAATAGAAAAGAAAGTGTGGTCTATAGCTTAAATCAATCGAGAATATTGAAGCTGTGTAGACTATATACCACCACCACTTCAACACATTTCTATTGTTCTCCCTTCCCCACCACAATCACATTTCTATTGTTTTCCCTCCACTGCCACCGACTCCACCACTAAACGTCTTTTGTTTCCCCTCTATCACCATCATCACATTTCTATTGTTTTCCCTCCACCACATTTCTATCTTTGTCACTCCATCACCACCAACACCATCATCACATTTCTATTGTTTTCCCTCCACCACCAATACCACCACATTTCTATTGTTTTCCGTCCACCACAACACTCGTATTGTTTATCTGCCAGACAAGTTACATAGATGGCCCGTGAATCCTTTTCTTTAATTTTGCCCTGATTTTGGTTACATATGCCTGATTTTGGCCTTTACGACCTGGTTTTGGCTTTTTTGGCCTCCTAGATGACGTCACCCAATCAAAAGGCAAGAGCTTCACCGACCTATAAATAGCTAGAAAAGCTGTCCAACTGGTTAAGCCACCTACAAATAGCATTTTTAGGATTCCACAGCATTTTATTTATGAGATAGAGACATAAGATTTTGTCATCATCGGCGTTCATGTATTCCTGCCCTTCTTAAACGACGGAAAAACGGGCAACAAAAACGTGCAACTTGTTTTGCAACATTGCTGCTAAACGAGTTGAAAAGCTATGTTGGGCGTTTTACCACCCACCCTCAAACCCGTCTTGCACTAAATCAGGTTGCTGCAGGTCCGAATACTGACTTCTGACTGGTTAGATTTACGAGGGAAAAAACATACACCGGATTTACGTCACGTTGGTGCAAAAACAAGTTTCCCTTGGGCCGGTAAAACGCGTAACATGTACAGATTTTGATGAAAAGAGTAGGACGTCTCTCTACTTTCTGCAACAACTTTTTGCAACCTGCAATAATCGGATTTGTTGCAAGACAGATTTGGTTCGTGAGTGGTAAAACGCGCAAAATTGCTATTCCATAACTCGTTTTGCAGCAATAATGCAAAACAAGCCGCCGGTTTTACCGTGCCTTTAAAAAGATTCCTGTCCAATGAGGCCTAAACTACTATACTACTTCGGCGTCCGATTTCTCCCTTCCCTTTCGACGTTTTCCATCCAGGCTATTGTTGCGATGATTTCAACAAAATTTATTCGTTTCTCGTTTGATAAACTCGCTCGTACTCACAAGATCGCTCGCTCTCCTTTTCCTCGTGTTCTAGTGCCAAAACCGGTCCTGACCGGTTCGGCTTACGTCACACACGCACCACAGGAACCCCATTTCGGGTCCGACACTCTCCCCCTATTTGATACACGCAAGTGGAGCAAATATAATCACACAGCTCCATGCTTATATAACAGCAACAGTTTTAAAGAGTTCTAATAGTTCGTGACTCCGCAAGTCACTGAATCAGTTCTCGCAAGAGGAGCAAATCGAACATACAGCTCCATGGGCTTAACAGTTCTAACAGATTTAACAGTTCTAACAGTTCATGACCCCACTCGTCCCTGGGTCTGTTCACTTGTTCTCTTGCTCTGCAATCTCTCTGATCCGCTTCGCCGCAGCTACAGCAGCCCGCCTAGGGGCGAACTCTCTGGCTCGAGGATTAAGCTGCACCGAATTTCTCAACTGTGTGTCCCGTACGTCGCACGACAGCTCCATTGGACATAGCTGTTGGATTGCTCGCTCCAAGTAGGACTTCCCCGCTCTCAACCTCGCTGCTCGGACGACGCCGTCACGCCCCTTGATGAGTTTCACTACAACTCCAATGTTCCACTTTCCACGGTTGCGCTCCTCACTCTGAATTAGCACCACATCTCCAACTTTCAGTGTCAGCACCTTGGTCTTGTGTTTGAGATTGTGTCTCTCCCTCAAACTTCTGATGTATTCTGTAGTCCACCTTGACCACAGAATGTCCTTGCAGCGACGGAGGTATCTTGTCCTCTTACGTAGCTCCACATCCTCCACTGACTCTGCATCCTCCTCTGGCAGGAGGTTAGGTAGCCCGTGCATCATGACGTTTGGCGTTAGCACCGGAAGTTCAACATCATCTTCAACATAGGATAACGGGCGGTTATTGACGGCCACCTCCACCTCAAGCACAACTTCTTCAAGCTCTCCGAATGTCAGGTACGCTCGTCCCATAGATTTGTAAAATGACTGTTTCACAACTCCAACCAACCGTTCAAATTGACCGCCCCACCATGGGGCTCTGGCGAGGTTAAACTGCCAAAGGATGTTGTGGTGGGCCAGATAGTCTTGCAATTTCTCCTCCCTCATAACACTCTTGAGCCACCTGGATGCAGCCACAAAACTTCTTCCATTGTCCGAATAAATCTTCGTAGGCCTCCCCCGTCTCGCAATGAAATGTTTCAAACACCTGATGAAACCAGCAGTGGTCTGGTCAGTTAGTAACTCTAAATGGACCGCTCTCGTTAGACTGCATGCGAACAGTAAAATGTATGCCTTGCCTTCTTTCTTCTTCGAAATCTTGTAAGTTATGGGCCCGGCGTAGTCCACCCCTACTACTTGGAACGGAAATGTCCCCTCTGTACGATCCACTGGTAAGTTTCCAGGCGGTGGATTTTGGAGCTTTGTCACATGGAACTTCTTACACCCATAGCAGTGGTTAACCACGTTCTTCGCCAGTTGCCGGAGACGGGGAATCCAATACTCTTGTCTCACATGCGCCATCGTTAGGCCGACTCCCCCGTGTAGCGTCAAGATGTGGGCGTCTTGCACCATTTTTTCTGATAAGACTACCCTGGGTGGCAAATACACCGGATAATGTCCTTGAATTCTTCCTCTGCACACATAGATTCCTTGGTCATTCTTCTGAAGGTTGAGCCTTTCTTGGTCTTCCAGAAACTTGTCTGTTACACTGTGTCTCTGCTGCTCCCGCCTTATCCACCACTTGACCTGTATCTCCGTCTCAGCTGTTGTCAAGGGTCCGCTTACTCGGTTCCACTTCTTGCTCCGGCAATTTTGAAGGAATCTCATGACCCATGCACTGATTCTGATCGTTCGCCAGAAGGTATGCCTTTCCAGCACTTCATCGAAGTCGTCCCTCGCCTCCACTGCCACTGCAAACACCTCCTTAGTAAGCTTAGCTTCTGCTTCCGTTTCTTTGTTAGGCTCTGTCACTACGTCTCCCGGCCACTCCTCTGGCTTGGACAACCATTGTGGTCCCGGCAACCACACATTACACAGCTGATCTGCCTTGCAGCCTCTGCTTCCTATGTCGGCTGGGTTGTGTTTGGAGTCGACATGTCTCCATTCAATGTAATCTTTGTCGTTGATCTTGCGGACTCTGTTGGCCACAAACTGTTTGTAAGTACCTCCCCCCTTGATCCAGTGGAGTGCGACAGTACTGTCACTCCACCCATGGACTGACTTGATTGGATATCCTTCAAGTGCGACTCTCACGTTCTCCACAAGGTTAGCGGCCATGTGAGCGGACACAAGTTCCAATCTTGGAATTGTAAGATTCTTCTTTGCTAATCTTGACTTTGCTGCTATTAAGCCCTTGCTCACCCCGGAGGCTTGCGTAATCACTGCATAGAC